AACTATAGACCGATAGATTGTTTAAACCAATATAGAAAGACACAGGCAAAAATATAACCCCATCTAACATATTGTAGTTTGAAAAGTGAACAGCGTTGTATACTCCATTAGAAAATTATCCCGTGGTCGACTTAACCCCTTTGAACATCATCAAACAGTTAAGAGTCCTGACAAATGACTATTACCACTGACAACTGACAAAATCATTCGAAATTTGAACGCTTTGTGAATGATGAACGCAATGACAGGATTCGAAACGAAGGGATGTTGCACAAAGTTACATTTGCGTATTGCTAAAGAAAATTACGCTTATACATTGTTCGTTTTTAAACATGTTAGATAGTCTATAGTGTTGTTAGCGAACCACAAAACAATCTTGGTTAGTGATCAAAGCTTTTACACTACAAAATCATTGTTTTTTTCTAACTGCTGATTGTTTCTCAATGTTTCTATATAGACGTCAGCGCACCTATAGCCGCCAACTAAGTAAAATGCGCCTAAGTGACAAAATATTTTTTTGAAATATCATTAAAAAATCATATCCCAATTAAAGAATATTGAAATTGTTTGATGATATTTCAGCTATGCATCGTTAGGGTAAGTTCCGATAAGTGGAACACGTTAACTAATATTAACTGTTTTTAAATGAGAATTTTGTTCACTATTTTTTGCTATTTAAAATGGTTATTTGACCATTTGTCATTTAGCCGCGTCTTAGTCAGTGGACGGCAGTATAGTTCGTTGCTCAAAATTGGCCTCCAATAATCTCAGTACAGAGTGCTAAAAAACCGACTTCAAAAGTACGTGGAATTACGTCCATTTGCTAAGTTTTATTGAAATATCCCCTACTTCGCCACTATACATGACTTGACCCTGGAGACAATAAAAATAGGTTCTCGCTACGAAACTACTCAAAGTATATTGAGAGAAAAACGCCTTGAATTGAAGAAATAGCAAAATCAAGCATTAAAGTAATTGCTCCTAAATTAAAATTAGGCGCTATTTATAAAAATGAATGTTCATGCATGAACAGCCACCCTTCGACGTGGATGATTTTCTTCAAAATGAAATAGGACCACTATGGAAGTACCCCCTTTCCAGCAAAAAAGAATCATGGAAATCGGTTCACAAATCGGGCAGGAGTTATCGCGTAACATACATTCGAAAAAAAAAGAACATACAGTCGATTTGAGAACCTCCTCCTTTTTTGAAGTCGGTTAAAAAATATTATCAATAACGTCATTGGCGGTTGCAGTACTTACATATCTCACTGGGACACGTTTATGACCATGTTCTGGATTTATGGGAATTAATTTAGAAGATGAGTATGAATATCTACTGTGGGTTAAGATATCCCAAGTATTCGATTTTTATAGATATGTCATGGTTCTTTTTGTGACCGCCGACACATGACATTTATCAAACTTCTCCCTCCTCGAATATCTGCTAACGAATATTAATTACGTGTGACTGCTGTCGGTGCTTTAAATTAGGTGCCCGCCTCATCCCGCGTCCCTGTCCCTCGCCGTGAGATTGTGTGTTGTGTTGAATGCAATGACGAAGCTGTTCAATGTCGCATCGGGGGACAGATATCGCGCGATCAGTGCTCGGTTCTTTTTGGTTAATAGCGGGATATTATGGTGCCCAATTTACAGGAGGTAGCTTATTCAAAGAATAATAAAGACTATAAAACCTAGAAAACAGTAGTTTGCCTCGGTTCGGAATCGAGTTTAGCTGGTGTCAGTTCAGTATAGTTTTAAAAAAAATTATTAATTTTTAGAGATTCGCTCTGGACCTTTTGGAGGGAAAAGTGTCGTTTTTATTTTGATTTTCAATTATTTTGTGAAATCTAGTTTAAAGTGGAATAGCATAGTGCTATTGTGCCTTAATCGAAGATTATACGCATCTCGAACTAAAATGCCCCTATCGGCCCGTTTTAAGGAATCCCGAGTCAATCCAAGCACGCCGCCTCAAATTGCCTATCCTCTTTGTAGCGGCCATATTTACGGAAACATATTTAAACTTCATGTTTAGGCTGATGGCTTTGCCAAAGCCTTAATAAATAAAAAAAAAATTTTAAAAATTATTAATTTTTATCAGGCAGTAGCAGGTAGGTACTAGGAAACTATAATTCTAAAGTGAATTTCTTTGAAACAGTTGCATTAAATAAATTACTACACGCAGCGTCAGGCACTATTAAGTAGTTTTTGAAATTTGGAAATATAGCATGAGTAAATTTAATGAAATATTTTATTAGTATTTCTATTTATAAAACGGAGTACTTATAAAATATTTCTTGCATCACAACGTAGAAATTCTGTGTAAAATATTTTTTTTTCATGCCTCTACTATGAGATTACGGTAACAGTTATCGCTAGCGACCGCGTAATTTCTTCCTGAGACCGCTAAGGGCGCTGTATATAACTTGCCACACAAAATTATGAAGTTATTTACGCGGTCGCTAGGGACAACTGTCACAGTACACTCGTAGTAGAGGCACTGAATTATAAATTACCTGTTAAAGATGACGTCATGATTTATATTTTTAACAAAATTCTGCTAAAATCAATAAAAGTTTTGTTCCTCCAGGGAAATACTGCCACCTTTGCGGACCCCGGGCTCCGCAGCAACCCTGCTGAGGACGCAACCGGGACAACGCTAAGATGAGAGAGAGAGGAAATACTGCCACCTTATCTTGTTCTGCCTCCAAGCAGTAATGTTACTCACACTGCATTCTAGTTTTGAAGAGCAAGGGTGCTGGCGAAATTATAGGCACATAGGACATGTTAACTTATGTTTCTGACGGGCGCAGTGAATCCGGTATGGACTTATATTATGTTACGTGTCGCCTATCACCAGGTGCATGCCTTGTTCGTCCATCCCGTGAAAAACATTTTTTTATGATACCAAGTGGTATCATAAAAAAATGTTTTTCACGTTCTATTAATATACGAGTATACAATGTACTTGTAGACACTTTTAGTATATGAAAGGCATATGGCTGTTATGAAAATGTCCATTTAAGATACTGGACTCTGTTTATCGTTGGCTTTTAACTTGTACCACACGCAGTGTCCCCTAAACAGAGGGTCAGCGTAGCAGCGGGGCGCCGACAACCCTAAATAGAAAGGGCTCACAAACTTTCGCGTCCCTTCCTTTCATATGAGCTTTATACAACTGTAGGTTCACTGCGAGCCATTTGTATTACATGTAGTATGTGGTAGTTATTGTATGTGGATAAACAGGTATGTGTAGCAGAGCAGCTGTAGTCGCCAATTCCCTTGAGACTTCCAACAATAATAAGGGCTATTTTGACGCATTTATTGACAAATATATTAATTTTAGCAAGTTTATTTTACCAGTATTGACTAATGATAGTGGTGACTGCCTCTGTGGCCGAACGGTTACCATGTTGGTCCGCCACGCAAAGGTACCTGGTTCGATTCCTGGGCCGGGAGAAATATTTGTATGGCCTTTGTATTCCTCTCGTGAGTTTGGGAGTAATTTGTGATTGTTTATGTGTGTGTCCATGGCACCGACGACACAGAGTTTCCCTAGTGCGGGGTTAGGAGTATGTGCGATAATAATATTAATAATATGATAGTACTCTTTTTTACACAGTGTCTACTTTGCTACAATTTCTGATCTAGTTATTTATCCCTATTGCTAATCATTATTAAGAGTAAAGATACCAAGTTTTACCTTTGACGAGAATTGTCATATCATGGAGATAGAGCCAAGTGATTTGTCAGTTTAAATTTCGTAGTGCTTTACTTTTTTGCTTTTCATGTGATATTAAAACATTGTTTTAGATTTCAAAAAAACATTGATTGGCAAATTTGACATTTGTTCTAATTCTTTATGCAAATTTCATATAAAAGCGCACTGCGAATCTGAAAATCTCAAGAGATATTATTATAATCCTATGTAAGGTATAAAATGTGCCTGCAGAAAATTTTTATTTGCCCTACCTATTATGTATGGCTCCTATGACTGGCACGGCTCTCGCACAGCAGTAACAATTGCTACAATTTACTTTTCAATTTTATCCAGTCACGTCTCTTGCCGCTAGAGATGTTCCTGTTTGGGAAATGAATTACAGGCTATCCTTTAGAGATGTGTACAGTTTTATTTGTACAGTTTCGTTTGAAGATTTTTCTGTTGTCAAACATCACCATTTGTTTTTTATATTTTCTTCAATGTTTTCTTAATGAGACCCAGACAAATGTACGTATTAGTACATTAAAAACATGATGCTATAATTTATTAATGGAAATCATGCATTAGACTACACCTATTTCTAGAATCTAATAATGGTTCATCGAATTATTTGGTTTCTCAGAATAATCCTCCATTGATGTAAAGGAAATCTTGGAAGGTGTCGAGTAGTATTTATCAGCGGTGTGTTGTGTTTGGACGCGCGTTCTCTTTGAGAGGAGGGGACGCGGTGTGGTGAGGGACGCGCTGACGTCACTCCGCGCATGCGCATTAGGATACTCCTTGTTGTGTAGAGTACATTAAGAGAGATAGATGCTGCGGTTTTAGTTTTTTTATTCATGTTGTCCATGTCGTACAGGCTCATGTGCTGATAGTGGTCTTGGTTTTACGTGAATTCTTTAAAAAGGGGTGTTATATAACGTTGTCATGAGAGATCATACTTCGATTCATATTTTCAGCTTGTGTATAGTAAAACAAACCTTAATGTAATTGATAGATAATATTTATTGTATGTGCGTAAAGGGTGGTAACAATGTAACATGATAAATTATATTTCGACAAAAAAGGAAATGTACCTGTTGTACATTCAGCAAATCGCTCTGAGAATCGTAATGAAAAGAATATTTGTAACAAAAGCATTATAATTATGTAGAAGTAGTTTCACGCCATCTCTGATCATTTTGACTACTCTACATACGTAGCGAATCCGTGTCCGCGAGGACGGGAGCGGGGCGACCAGTCAGTTTCATCGTGCGTCCTATGTCGACCGCTACGACCTCGTAGCGACCAGTCGACTACGCCGCGCCGTCACCGCTACGTACAAACAACTACGGAAACAGTCTGTGACTTTGTGTACTCTAAATTTTTAATTGCTCTGTGAGTGGATTTGTGCCTGTGAAGTGGTGATATCAAGGTATGTTTTATTCGTAATTCGAATATGAGTAGCGTTCGTTTTAATGTCAAGGACAATATCGATCAAGCGTCAGATGTGGATTGGCTGTTTACATCATCTCTTTTGCTATTTGTTGTTTAAAAACTGAATTCAAAAAGAAAATGGCTCCTAACATTTTCTGCATTTAGTTTTTTCAGGTTTTACTCTTACAATTACCAAATATTATGTTGTAAACATTTTCAATATTGAAGTACAGATAGATGTTTTGTATCATAAGACGGTAATTAAATATGTATTTTAACTTATTTAATCTTAAAGATGTGCAGGATTTTGCACAGACATAAGATATATATAAAGGTCGTTAAAAGTACTATGAAACAAAGGGATAGGTCCCGAAGTGGGGTCCCGAATAATTTATAAGGGCAGGTGCCGCCTTGTGTTAAAACATTCATGAATATAAGATATTAATCAACATTTAATTGCTGTTTTCCACAGTCAGTCATTTTAATTTTGGTTTTTTTTTTGCAGATTTGTAATAAACTTTTATTGAATTGATATTCAAATATTTTTTGTGAAATTACTCCACTAGTTTGTTGTAATCATTAATACAAAGACGTTCAGTACTCAGAAAAAATTGCTTCGATCCGATTTGTAAAAATTTTCATTTTTCCCACACAAACATACATAATATTTTAGGGTATTATATTATAGTCTTATGCTTTTTGCCTCCTTGTGTTAAGATAATTAATCAATACTTATTTAGTTGCTGTTTCGAAAAACAGAGTTTTACCTTTTTTGCTTTATTTTTATTTGTCGATTTTGAAATGATTTGAAATAAATAATTTTTTTATCATGATTAAGAAGCACCACTTTCGAGAAAAATCAAATCATATTCCTGAAATAATTAGAAAAATTTGTGTACTTTCTGTGTAATATTGAGTTTAATTGTGCAATAATAATATAATTTATTGAGAAATATGGAGAAATACTATACAGGAAATATTTAGCGAAGGAAATGCTCCATAAGGCCTCTTGTATTAACGACAAAAGGAAATTGCGTTTCATATTGCCATCATTGGTTGCCTTATTTCTTTTTGCTCTATTATTGTTCTTTTTCACTTGTTTAATAAGATTTTCGGTACTTATTTAGGAAATTCTGGCCCGATTCTCTGCTGGAGTAAATATCTTTTTAAATTTAATGAAGCAAACACCACTCCGGTCCCTTTCTAAGGTTTTTTCGTTTCGCAGTTTTCCCTTGAGCTTTTTATGCGAAGTGGCTTTCAAAATATATTTGGTGAAAGTATATTAATGGGGTTAAAATAAAATATTAAAGAGGTTAAAGTATACGTATAGTAAGTATAGTTACGTTAATTTTAACTCTATGCCAGTTATGATAAGAAGCTTAAATTTTAATGTGTCAAGCATGGCGCACTCGTATCTGTTCCAAAGAAGAATTACTACAAAGAGGATAATGATAGCAATGTATCAAACTACCACACCAATTAATTTCCTGGTCTCTACTACTAGGGAACTTCCTTTATTACGAGTACCAGAATAACAAAATTAAATACGGGGGCTTAACCCCGAATACTACCCGAAACAATTTAGAAACGATTGATTGACGGTACGAAATTTTATCTGTGAATGGTATTAATTTCGATAATTTGGTATATTTTTCATTATCTTTCGTAGAAATAATAAACGAAAAATGTGATGATTTTCGATACCTAATCATGAAGATCGAAACAGCGGAGCTCATGTGACGTCACAGGGCCCGTAAAAGCAGGTGTCTGCGCTAGACCTCGCTATTTCTACCGCCAAGCAATAAATAGGCATTACTGCATTCCGGTTTTGCAGGGTAAGAGAGCTGGCGAAATTACAGGCGCATGGGACTTTTTTTAATGGTTTTTCTTTTTTTTTTAAATTCGCAAATTGCCGAAGTTATCGCGTAACATACACACAAAAAAATACATACGAATTGAGAACTTCCTCCTTTTTTGAAGTCGGTTAAAAATAATACAAATTAACATATTCCGTTATCAATACAACATCTCTAATTAGTATACCAACGATTTTTTTGCATACAGAATAATGAGCCGATTTATTCGGTAATAGACCTAAATCCAATTGAGATTGAGGTCAAATTTATTCCAGCCAATTACCGATGCCGTGATTTCATAAGTAGGTATCTACACTGTGTTCACTTCTTTAGGTAAAGCAGAGCTCGCGTGTAACGTTGAACATCAAAAGTCTTTGTTTGCTGTTTGAGTTTTTGTTAACCTTCTTCGACATGTTTTTCTGACGATAATGTTTCTTTTACCGTTACAGCTGGTAATAATTACTACAAGGCAGACATTACACGCATTTTACTACACACTCACACCACCCAATGTTGCATTCTTGTTCATGGGGCTAGAGTCCCATGAACAAGAAAGCCAATCCATTTTCTAACTATCTGTTTCATTGCTATTGTAAAAGTAATAATAATAACAATAATATAATAATAACATAAATTAAGCTAGAAGTACTTACTACAAGGTACAAGGAAACTAGACCTGTGTTACAGTTTTCTAGGTTCCCACCCTATATAATTCGGCTTTTTTTGTAATTAAAAGTAAATACGCTATTATAGTAAACAATGTGGTGATGAGTCGAGTGTGTATGTGTGTGTGTGTGCATGCGTGTGTGTTTTTCAGGAAAAAAGTTTCTGTGTCATGATAACATACAATACCTGACAACTACACCAATTACCAACTTAAGGAATTTCCTGTCGAAACACGATTGTTCTGCTGTGAGTAGTTGGGAAGTCCGCTGGCTGTCCTGGTTACACCATCAGGATTACCATTTTATTGTAATATCAACGGATTTCCATCGTATATTAAATTGCAAGTCGATCTGACAAGTGGAATAAAAGTAATATTTATTTTATGATTGAATTACTCTTGACTGATGTTTGATGAGAACCATACCGATTAAAATAGCCTCCAAAAAAAAAAAACGCTGAAGAGTCTATATAACCTCAAATGGCTTTGGTTGATTCCGCATTAAAGTGGAAGCGTTGAATCAATCTCTTTGGAAAAAATATATAGTAAAATTGAGGATATACGCTGATTACTATACAGTGTGAAAACAAGATTCCTAAAAATGTTCACGATAGAAAAAAAACATAAACTTACCTCGAATTTTTACAACAAAACCGCTGTCTTCACTACTTTACATGTACCAATGATTTATTTTTATATCAACTGAATTAAATAGAACACGTATAGTATACGATATACATTTTTCAGATGACTTTAATTTCGTTTGCAAAAAAATTAATTTTGAAATAAAGCCAGTGTCCCTGGTGCTCGATCCAAGCAAAATGAACCGTATTAGTAGGGGAAAAAATTGAATTCGAGCTGAGGTAGTATCGAATCTTAACAAATCCAATCAAGTTCTTAGGTTTTCGCGATTGTTACACATAGGACATGAAACTATTCACGGTCACAGTGGACGTGGTCACGGTGGACATGTCAACCGTGACCATGGGACCTGTAAAGGGCCCGAAACGTCGGTTTGTTTGATAAAACAAATATACGCGATTTAAATCCGGAAAAATAGTTTAATTTCCTTAATCCAATCAAATGAAATCATTTATCGTGTACGTACGTCTAGAAGGTTTTATATAATATTGTTGGGTCAGTACGTATTTCCAATTTTATGGCATACAATTTGCTTAGTTACACAGATAGCAGACTATCTGTGTAACTTGTAAACGAGTAGGCATCAAATGTATAACTTGTTTTTTAACCGACTTCAAAATGGAGGAGGTTCTCAATTCGACTGTATGTTTTTTGTTTTTTTTTTTATGTATGTGTGTTACGCGATAACTCGGGTATTTGTGAACCGATTTTCATGATTCTTTTTTTGATGGAAAGGAGGTACTTCCATAGTGGTCCTATTTCATTTTGAAGAAAATCATCCACTTCTAAGGGTGGCTGTTCACGCATGAAGATTTTTATAAATAGCACCTAAATTTTACTTAAGGAGCAATTATTTTAGTGGTTGATTTTGCTATTTCTCCAATTCAAGGAGTTTTTCTCTCAATATATTTTGAGTAGTGAGAACCGATTTTAAGGAATGTTAATGGAAGTGGCGAATTGAAGGATATTTCAATAAAACTTAGCAAATAAACGTAATTCCACGTACTTTTGAGGTCGGTTTTTTTAGTACTCTGTACTGCGATTATTATAAGACCAAGTGACGGGACGAACAAGTCGTAGACCAGATGCTCACCGACGCGCTTGTTCATAAAACTTATTGTGCCACTCAGAGCTTTAAATTGCAAAGATCTTAAGGATAACTGGCACTGCGCTCGTCACCCTGAGACCTAACTTGACAAGTCCCATGTGTCTGTAATTTCACTAGCACCGTTACCCTTAACAAACAGGAACGCAGTAATGCTCACTCAGTTAGGTGATTTCACTGGACGAACTCTTTCACAAGGGTCTCTACTACTACAAAATAACTCCCCTCTTTTTGGGTCGGATCAAAAAAAAAAATACAAGCAAGTCAATCCATTCTTCAAAGTTCAGAACCTACATTCTCCCTGCATAACCGTAACTCCACGCTAGCATCAAAGGCCAGTAGGGCACCACTCTGCCTAACGACTCGCATTCACATACGCGTTACAAAGCCTTAACGTATGTTTGCATCTGCTAGATTCCAAGAATAGATTGAATTGTGCCATGTTCGTATTTCGTCTTCATGTTGAAATTACTATGGACTGTGTAATTTACATAGTTTCCTTGACTGTAGATACTTGTACATATTACATTAGACAACATCACATGCGTTTCTCAGATCCCAAAATAAGTAACTAAAACACTTGTGTTACAGAATTCCTGAATAATTAACTGCCTTCGTGGCCGAACGGTTACCATGACGGACTGCCACGGGACCTCTGCCCAGGTTCGATTCCCGGGCCGAGAGAAATATTTGTAAGGCCTACATTTATTTATCTTGAGAGTTTGGGTGTA